TTTATAAGTATAATTGTGTTAAGACTATTGATAATAATTTATTTTAAATTATTAGAACTTATTTAAAAACTTGTTTTTAAAATAGGATAATATTTGTTGTTGTTTAGTTTAATATAAAGTTAGTTTTGTATTATTAAAATTTAGTTATAAACTAACTTTAAGTGTTAGTAAAGTAAGCGTTCTAGTTAGTAGTAAAAGTGCTTTTTATTTTTTTTTGTTTAGTATTTTAGTTTATTTAGCTTTTAGTATAAAAAAGTCTAATAGGATTATTATTTATTTATTTAAATAGAAGTAGTGTAAATAATAGAGCTAAGATTAATATTATCTAAAGCTTAAATAATAGTTTTAAGAACAAAGGAAAATAAAAGTGTTGCAAGTTATAATGGGCGGTTGTGTTCTTTTTTTGAGCTGCTATATTTGTTTTAATAGCTAGGGAGACTATTTGGATAATGTTTGATTTAGGAAAAAAATATTAGAGTGTGGTAGCTATGAGGCAAGGTTAAAGTGGACTATAAGAAAGTTTTTTAATTTGTTGTTTGAATAGGAAAAGTTCTTTATTTTTGTAGTGATATATTGTTGACTATAAGCAAAACTAATAAATACTTAGGTGGCTATATGTTGGTAGAGGATTAGGTATTTAAGGCTGCTTTTTGTATTATGTTATTTATAATAGTTAGTTGGTACTTTATGTATTATTTTTTGTAAACTTGGCCTGTTGAACTTAGTAATAAAGGTAACTAACTATTTATTCTATAACTAAAAATAATTTATTAAATTATATTTTTGCGGGTATAGATATATTTTTAAAAATTTAAGCGTATATGTTATAGCAAGAGTATATCTAGTAGTGACTAGTAATAGTGCGGTTATATTTTTTGTTTTTTTGATAACTTTATTTATACTGTTGGTTGAATGCAGTAAATACTTTTGGCTTAATGGACTTAGCTTTGTAGTATTTGATCCTGGGTATAGATTAGATATTGATATTGATATGTGATGCGTGCCTTTTGCGGTAATAATGTGGTGGGAATAAGGCTGGCTGGGAGTTAATAATAAAGATTATATTGCTATTAGCTTGGGTTTTTTAATTTGTTTTTATAAATAGTAGATAGTAGTATTTTTGGTTGAGAATGAGTTAAGCACGCTTGCTATGTGCTGTTTTTTGTATGTTTAACTTAAATTTTATTTTATAGCTTGATATAATTGTTGCTAAGCTATTTATTTTTAGAGGTTATTATTTAAAAAATAGTATTTTAGGGTTTATTGTTAGAGATTGTTTGTTAAACGTATTAGTAGGTATGCTTTTAATTTATGTGTTAATATTAATAAATAAATCATATTTCTGGTATATAAAGATAATAAGTTTGATAAGAGGTTCTATAATAGGTGTTATTACTATTATAGGTTGGAATATTAAATTGATAATATTAATAATAATAAAAACTATTATACTGAGCTCCGCTATAACTTTTTTTAATTTTATACTTATGTTTAAATTTATACTTGTTATGTTTTTTTTGTTGCTAAGCTTTTTATTGTTATTGAACAACGTATTTTAGATTAATTTAAGGGTTGCTGCTAGTATTAGAGTAGGGGTTGGATTGGGTGTGATTGGGATAGTATTATTGCTTGTTATTTTTTGCTAAATAAGGAGAAAGAAAAGGAGAAGCCTTGTAGAAGCGCTCCAAACCTATTATTAAAACAATAGCGTAATTTTTGTATAATTAACCCTATACGAGTTTTATGTATTTCTAGCGAAGTATAAGTTATAGGACTAATAAATAGGATAATATGAATTATAGGGGTTTTAGAATTCTGTCTAGGGTTAATATAAGGGTTTTTTTATTTTAGCTAAGCTATATAAATAATATTTAACTGAGTTAGCGTATGTTTAATAGGTAATAAGTAGTTTATTTATATTATGTAATATAAATAATCTTGCTATATGACTTTTTAAAAGAGCTTATTGAATTATACTAGGTTTTTGTTTAAGTTAAAGGTTAAGCTACTTTATAAAACTATAGCAAAAATATATTTTCTATAAATAATAATAGAAATATAAGATAATTATATACTGCGATTGAGGGTATAATAAATTAATATTTTTTAATATTTTAGCTTTTTTTAGTGCTTAGAACTTAGCTTTTATTGTTTAATGGTGCTGGTAGAGATATCCTGTGTGGGCGGTCTACTAATAAGCCGGACTAATAGAACATGCTACATATATGTACTACTGTACTAAACAACTAAAATGTTAGTAGTAATTGCATGTGCGAAGTGCCTATTTATTTGTATATATATCTGACAACTACCTTATTGACTTTATTAGTTTAGAAGCTAAATGAATACTTAATAAAATAAAATAAAAGAAAGAGAGAGAGAGAACCTAGAAGTGTATATATGGGGTGGCTATAATTAGAATGGTGTTAAAAAACGCTGTTTACTTTATTTTTGAATGATGTTGGTGCCTGTTTTGTAGCAAGGAGCATATGTGTATTGGTTACGTAAGGATAGGGTTAGATGATAATTAGAGAGAATTCCGATTGGGTAATAGCGACGGTAAAGGCACGAGAACGTTGGGGGTTGAGATTAGCTTCCAACAAAGTATATTATATAAAAGTTTGTATAGCAGGTAAATTTTTGGGCGGAATTAGCCCAAATTCCTTGTTAATTACTATGTTAAATATTCTACTATATGTTAGATATACCCACTAAATCACGAAACATGGGGATTTGCTAGAAATGTTCAATTTAAATGAGAAATCTATGTTTGGCATTTGAGGTTCGACTTCGGGATATCCCCATGACAGTGCTATGTACATATAAGGACCCCTCAGAGCGGACAAGCCGATTATATATATACCCTCCGCAACATCCCACACGGCTCGAATTAACCTGGGCTACACCCTGCCAACTTTACGATGGCTAATATGATTAGGTGTGTCTGCGCGAGTGTCCTTTGTCAACTGTGTTTATCACACTAAGCAATTGCAATTACATCAGTGCTATATTTACTTCGAGTTGAACAAGCGTTTAGCGGCTTGTTGTGGTGTGGACGGACAAGATATATACGCTAACTTCTTATATTACATTGCAAAATTACAATTGTCTTCTCTCGGGGGCTAGTTTAAAGTTTGCTACAAACTAATACACTACTACTTCATTGTTGTTAGTTAATCAGTCGTGTACCTCATTAAATAAATAATCGCAAAGGCCTCGGCAGACAAAATATGCTAGCTTTGATGATAATTTCACAGGAAATGTACAGCATCTAGTTTAGGTAAACTTTTCGCAATTAAACTAACTAGTTGTATAGTACACGGCTATGATTGTTATCTAGCGGTGGCTTGTGTAATGTGAACTGAACCGTGAAGATGGTATAGTGGAACTTGGAATTGTGAGGCTTGTTGTGAGGTGCTTCCGTAGATTGTCTCGAGTACAGCTTGATCCGGTAATGACAAATGGAAGCGGCAGAATGTCCAAAATGTCAACTAAAAGCTTGTCGTGAAGGGCTCTTAGGTCCCTTTGCCATTGCCAGCAGGACAGCCTGATCGGCTACTAAATACAAAATCTCCTCGCCAATGCCAGTCATACCTAAACACAAAGTTCTTATTGAGCCCTTTCTCATTGAGAAGTTTGATGGTCGCATTTGTGTCATTCCAAAACTCTCCGATTGAGTCGTCTTCGCGTTGAATGTGCAGGATAATGCCCAGGGTAGCATCCTCGGGGCCACTGGGTGCGGCAAGCATCTGCCGGCCTTGCCCGGAAGACTGCATTTCAGCTATGTAGAAGGCCTCAAGCTTCTGGGCGGACCTGCTCCCGCAACAGAATTATTTAACATTATGATGTATTATATTGGCTTTGTTGGCTATCTTAACTCTACCACAACCTAAATATTCAATAAATGTAGTTAATAAATTCTCATCTCTTATATGTTGAGATATAGGGAAAACCAAACTAACACTAAAACCTGTAAAATAATTTTTATTTTTTAGTGATTTGATCCCTTTCTGTCGACTAGTCTGAGACATCGGGGACTCAAGAAAGTATATCAACTGGGTGAGCTCTTGAGTGGTAAGACAGTCAACCGCCTTTCTAGCGAACTTTTCAGCCACCCTTCGACGCACTTCTGCTCGGCAGGTACTAGGGCTTGAGGGAAGCCAGACAAGCCTCGGTTGCGAATATGACATTGCTGTAATGCATTCAAGCATCTGATGACCGCATTGCCATTCGGCCGGATATCGTACATATCCTCTCGAGAGGAAAGAGAAATTTCGCTAGAAGACATTAGTAAGGGGATGTATTGGTACGCGGTCGTAAAAGAGAACCCGAGGAAAGAGACGAATGTTAAGAAAGCAGTTGAAGCGGAGTATAATAGAGAATATCTCTCCAAAGAATCGTGTTAAAGTCTTCTTCAAGGGGTGGCGATTGTCTAAAAATAATATATAAAAAAAGAGAATTGCTGGAGGTGCATCCATGTTTTTACTACCCGTGCACCCATCAAATGGTACCAGCTGGATACGTCTATCAATCCAGACGAGCCCTTTTTCGTGGTGTACCTGCATAAAAAAGCTCGTCACACTTGTTACAAGATATCTCCGACCGTATTGAACACACCCTCTCAGTGTCTGCCTTCTGTAAGCGCTGAAGCTATCGCCAGTGCTGAATCTTCATATAGGTATATCACAAATCCATGGTGTTTTTGATTGGTTGAATTTACCAGGAGTGCTATTGCGCGTACGGCTATTTCTTTTTCACTTTGCTAGAGTATGAGTTCGATTCGGGCTGTCGCTGTTCCTTTTTACACCTTTTTACACCTTCTGGTGCCTGGATTATCAGGTGTTCTTTCAAAGTTGTTGAGATGAACGAGGTGCACCTGCAAAAACATGTTTGCCAAGACAATACAGGTGGCTGGTGGAGTCTTGCAGTGACTGGCAGTTGCTGGGTGCACGGGTAGCAAAAACATGGATGCACCTCCAGCAATTCTCAAAAAACAAATACTCCCCCGGAAAGGCTCGAACTTTCAACCTCCTGATTAACAGTCACTGCCGATATGGTTAGATTAGATTGTCAATAGTGTCAGATTTTAACTTACGACGCGCTAGCCAATTGCGCCACGGAGGACAACGCTGGTTGTTAGATCCGTGTCTCCTTAATTTTCTCTACCACCAATAGAGGCCACCTGGGTTGGCCGCCATGCCAATCAGCTCTGCCCAAAGTATCCACACTACCTAAATTGGGTATAGCTTATACTTATATCTTATACTAACCTTTTATAGTAACTAGTACTTTAAGCATAAAAAATCAGTATTTTTTATTTTGCACTAATGTTTATCAATGTGCCCTGCACCAATAGCCCGCATCCTCGTCTTCACGCCTTCATACAGCTGCTGTAACAGGGGCCACTATAAATGGCGCCTACTGCTTAACGTTGAACTAACGACGTCTTTATTACCTACTATTGCTTCGTTTTCTCTGTGTGAGGGGGAGGCATTGCATCCCCATCGTTGACCCTGAATGGCTGTCTTGTTGCCCGCCCCAAGTCCTCTCTACGGCCGCGATCAGTGACGCGCCAATTGAAGCAACCTTAACATATACGGCCTGACAGCCTTGACGAACTACGGCGGCGACTGACGCCCACGTCTTCCAGGTAACACCCGGACGAGTCCATGATCAAACATCGACTTCGCCCCCTGACGAGTCTTCTCTTCGAATCGAGCCCTCCCACGATCACCTCTCAAACACCATTACTTAACAGTGCCATCTTATGATGACGATGATGATGATGACGATGGCGGCGGTAGTTAGTGGTGGTGAGGGCCAGGACCACTGGGACCACCAAGAACCTTAAGGCCACAGGATCTCACCTGCCTACGCATCCAAGCATTGCGATGCAAGTAGTGATGTGCCCCTTAATCTGAACGATGATAACGTGTGCCATAGGACCTCGATGATGCTTTGCCTACCTCGATGATATTGGCGATGGAATTGGTGGCGATGGTGATGGTGATGGTGATGATCGTGGTTTTCTTATATGTAGGTAAGTAGGTTAAATAACTGAGTAGGTAGGTTAGGTAGTTATCGACGAGTTTACGATCGAACCTCGACTCCGTCGTTCCTGATTTCCTGCCCGTTAATTAGAAAGCGTAGCTTTCCTTAAGCTGCAGTGGCTGTCCAAGTCTATATTATACCTAAAACATTCATGATATTGGGCAAAATCGCCGTGTTTAAACCTTGCTACTAGAAACCTATAGAAGCCTTGCCATTTCAAAGGGGAAAAGGTTTTTAGATATCGCTGTCTAGTTACTTGCTCTATTATACCTCGGTTTTCTACTAGCCCAGAAAGTCCTTCATTTCCACCGCGTTCGTGTAGGGGATTTGCATAAGCAACATGTTGGCTGCGAGTTGGTCTGTCTTCACGTCAGTAAACTCTGACGTGGTGAGGACCACCTTTGGAGGTTTACCCTCCCTCCCTCACCCAGGGTGGCGAGCTCTCTCGCCCACTCCTCCGTTATCTCGAAGCCAACAATCTGCTTCTCTGTGGAATCGTGGTATTAACTACGATATACACAGGCGGTAGCCACTGAGCTCACTATGGTATTGTCTGTAGAGCGGACCCTGGGTGCACACTGTACCGGAAATAGTGATGTTCTGGTTCAAGACTTACCTCGTGCTCGGCCGTTCAGATAAGTACAAACTGGCGGAGGGGACGTACCTCGGCGAAATGGGTGGTATGCGAGCATTGCGTTCAGCTTATCTACTTCACAAGAGAACTCGGAAACCCTCATTAAATACATAAACGCCATCCGTGCCCTTCGTGCTCCTTCGCCTTGGACAGTACATGAAGTGACTCCTTGACACATTTCATTTTCAATGGAGCCCACATCATTTGCCACGCCTAAGCTGTTCTCGTACCGTCAGAGGAGGTGCAGTTTGTGTCACTCATAAGGTCGAAATACCTGGCTTCAGTAGTGCTGGACGGCCTGCACGTGTCGGCCCAGTAGAGGCACGTGCTACCCTGACCTAGGATATCCAGCGTAAAAATGGATTATGGCAAGCTTCGCTTCCAAGAAGCAGATGGATGAAATCAACTGTGTCGCTGTCATCGACATTGGTGGGCCATTCCCGATCGACGGTAAAGCCGCCGCCCTCCCCTTCCAGCGCTAGCGGGCTGCTCATCTCAATTGCAGCGCCAAAGTCCTCGTGGCCGTGGTTGGTTCAGGGTGTGATCTTGTTGTCCGAAACCTCTGCTATGTCGGCGAGGCCATCTTCCGTCATATCTACGGCACACGTCTTAGTGTTGGGGGTTGATGGTAGGTTTATGCGCGAGGGGTGGCATTGGTTAACCAGCAATACCTGCAGCTATGGCCGGAGCTGAGACCACCATAGGTGCGCAGATACCCCGAGAGTCTCTTCCCGCTCAGGGACTACCGCCAGATCAAGTCGTGTGAGTCTCCTTCTCCACACACAAGGTCGGGGCTCCGTCTCGATCTACAGTATCCGTTGTCCTCTCCTGTAGAGATCCCGAAACTTGTCGAGCTTCCCGCCGCCGCCGAGAGACGGCTGATGACCAGGCGCACGCGTAGCGAGCCCTATTAGACGCAGCCTGCGGTTCAAGCTAGCCAACAACGGCGATTTTTATGTTAACATTGACTATTTACCGTACGTACTTCCTGACAGCGTCGTTTGTAGGTACCATCGACCGACTAACACTCATGTATTTCATGCAGGAGACCAAAGGAAGGTCTGGTCAGCGTCAGAGCCCCCAAAGCTCTGCCGTACAACAACATTCTGTACCACACACCTAGTATTGCAAGTGGTCCAAGACATTGATACTATAAATATCGCTGTTATATATAGTATTTCTCAGGCTAACGGCTCTAATAGCCATACCGGTGTCTATCTATTATCTGTACAGGTAAAAACCATGCCTTTTGGCCCGGTTGGTCATCGTCACCGATTCGCTCCAGGCCCGTAGGCTGGGCGAAAACATCTTGTCTCTACTACGTATCCCTGACTTTACCGCTTCGTTCTCCTTATGTGTGCTGCTACCTCTGGTCCGCTTCTCCTGTTTCGCTCTGTCTCGTATCGTGCTATTAACTGGATGCACGCATCCGTCATATCGCTGTTATATTGAATATATTACCCGAAGCCCTTATTATAGCGGCACTCTCTGAGCTTCTAAGCTTGAGCATCTCTAGCTGAATCATCCTCATTATAACCACTGCAGCAGCGGCATCATAGCGGCATATCACAATTTCAATGTCAATCAACCATAATAGATATCATATTAGTCAACTATATATATGATAGCACTACGCTCTTCCCGGTCTAAATTGCACAGACTGCCAATATATATTGGCGGTGAGAATTAAATAAAATGCCGACTTGAACGCTTTAATTCTCAGTGAATATACTACTGCATAGAGTTTCCAGTCTGTTGAGCCCATAGACCCATCTCTCTAGTTGGCGTTATAGCTTTTTCCTTGGGGTTAGCAGGTAAATACTTGATTCTCCAATCCACATGTATTTTAAGTCCGAGGTGTTCCAGGCAATATCCTTCATGAACCATCCCTTTGCTCTATGTGATATATTCGAGCTAGACCCACCAGCTGCAGCCAATCATACCTACTACTAGTTGTTCAGGTGGTGTGGGTCTGCGCTTTACAGAAGCTCAATATATATATACCAATAAAAGTTCAAGCAACCAACCTAGTCCTCCGTGGCGCAATTGGCTAGCGCGTCGTAAGTTTAAATCCGACACTTCTCGTGACAAATGGCTTACCATCCGCAGTGACTGTTAATCAGGAGGTTGAAAGTTCGAGCCTTTCCGGGGGAGATTTTTTTGGCTTTTTTATTCAGCCTTTTTTTTACCTTAGGGCGCGGCCCCTATCCTGGGTAATGGCTGGAGCCAGGCAATTAAATGTGAGAATTATTTGCACCATGATCTCAGGCTTGATATCGTGTTACATGAACATGCTTGCCTAGCCATTTTCTAGCCGCGATATTCTGTTCGCGCTATTGCAGCCAGGCTATTCCAGCTCAATAGCCTGGCAACAACCATTTCCATTTGAAAATGATTTCAAAGTTGAACATACCTAACCTACCTTGCTGGAGATGTCGGCAGAGTTGTCAAGGGCTGCAGATTCTCGCAGCTCCTTGACGACGAGGAGATGATCTGGAGGGTCCAAATGAATGGCTCCGGATGTTGACGTTGGCTGCTTTTCTGATGATGTTGACGGACAGAGGTCTTAGTGATGGCAAGCAGGAGATCTGGGTATATAATGCCGTGTAGGGCCAGGTTATGTCCCTAAAATGGAAAACTTTGCCGGCAAAGCTCCATTTCTAGTATGCTGTATTAAATCAAAGTGCAAGACACTTCAATTTAATGCTTTTATATTTACCTACTTACTTATTTACTTACTTACTTGCTTAGAGGTAGGTAGATATATAACTTATTAAGAGAAGACCTTTTTTGATTATTTTTCTTATTTGTTTAAGATAACTTAAAGTTATAGTTAATTTATAATTATAAGTTTAACTAATAGGTAAGCTATAGATACTTTCTTTTAGCAAACTATAAGCTTGTAGGTAAATACAAAGTTTTAGGGGGTCTAGTAATAGAATCTCTTGAGTCCTTTTTTCCGATTTTAGTGACGCCCCAAGATCCGTTCTTCTTCCACGGTTGGCAATAAAACACACGCTGCTGCTTCTTGGACCCCGAGGGCGGCCCTTTCAGCATTGTTGATGGAAAAGGGGGGAGAACAGGCACGATTGGTAGAAAGACTAACTTCTTTACAAAGATCCTAGATAATCTTTATAAGGCGACAAATGACGCGGGTTTCAAAAAGCCTAGGCCCCATGGTAGCGCAGATGAGCGTGTAAACAGCGCAGAATATAATTAGAAATCGATCCCTCTACTAACCCTGCAGTGCATAGCCTTTTGGGATGTGGTTTACCCTAATAACGGGCAGTTCCCACGTTAAAATTAATCAGTCCATTATATGTTTACGGAGATTATTAACAGTTTCATTTCTTCCAGGATTATTACAGAATACGTTCAAGCTCCCACATAGTTTAAAATCGCTACATTTTGTCGTCATGCCAAAGATAGTGGCTGTGAT